AGTATGAGGGGGGTGGGGGGGGGGATGTCACAGGCATCTGACATTCCTATAAGTGTTCAATATAAGGATTCATTATAGGGCTTGAGCAGAGAAAGGAAAGATCGAAGGAAAGAGCAGCTGGGCCAGGGGGTATAAAGCTTCTTTTTATGCAGGTTGCACTTTGCTACATATTTTTAACCCAGCAACAGTCTCTTTATTCTTGTATTTTGAGCCTGATGTTTGCGCTCAGCAGTTAAATAGCCGAGAAGAATGTATTGACCAAACGCAGTAAACAGTCAATATATTTCTTTAAAGCTCTAGACAGTTTTATGGCATCACATGTCGGCCTTAGACATCCCAACAATTCATCCCTCCTCAGACATTTCATGATAGAGAGTTCTGTCTCCTGATCATGTAGCTTCATCCAAATATAAATGATGTCATGCCTTTTAAATATGTGTATGAAAGAAAGATTTTCCTTTTTTGTCTTACATATGTTTACTTTTAGCGGGTTATTCACAAAGCTGCCGAAGGCAGCCGAGTGAATAACCCGGCCAAAATGAAGTGAGCCGAACGCTGTTCGGCTATTCACCTCTGGCTTACACAGCTGATTTCAGCTGTGCATCGGCTAAAATCAGCCGTATATCGGCTGAGCCGAAGTGCAGAAGGACTTCGACTCAGCCTATCCAACATCTGGGTCGGCTGAGCCGAAGCTTCGGCAGCTCCGAGGTACCGAGCAGAATAGAAAATAAGGGAAATTAATTTAAAAAAAAAAAAAAGTTGAAAAATAATTTTAAAAATGTAAGAAAATAGGAAAATAAAAAAAAGACAATAGTTTAAAGAAAAGAAGAAAAAAAAAGAAACGTCAAAATAATTTTTTTTAAACGCCAGCAAAGATGCCGACAAAAGAAAAACAATTGGGAGAAGCTAGCAGTGACAGCTAGCTCCACCCAACTGTTTCCTATTGGCCGGCACCTGCCAGAGTCTTCTAACAGGTCCCGGACAATGAATAACAACTAGGCGTAGCCAGCCGTGACGTCACAGCCGGCTCCGCCCAGTTGTTATTGTTTAATGCAAGATCAGCGTCCCTAGGTCATTTGGGGATGCTGATCTGGCATTACAAGTGGGCGGAGCGAGCCACGAGATCACAGCTGGCTCCACCCAGCTGTCATTTGCGTGGCGATTGGTCGGCTTTGGCTGTCACTTCGGCTCAGTCGAGTCGAAGCAAATGCCTTCAGCTCGGCTGAGCTGCTTGGCTGCCTTCCGCTACTGTACGGGCTATAGTGAATAGCCCGTACAGCTGCCCTTCGGTTTGATTGAACTAAAGGGCCAAAGAGAGCCGAAGGATCAGCTGAAGCTATGGCTGGAACCTTCGGCTCTTTAGTGAATAACCTCCTTAAAATATGTAATTTTCAGATTTCCATGTGTTCAATTGCTATTACCTTGATTTATTATTAATCCTAATTTAGAAGGTAAGAAAATGCTCCCCTACATACACCATCCATACACTGTTGGATTTTCTACACAGAGCCAGTGGATTCCTTCATCCAGGTTGGTGGAGTGTGGATGGAAGTATCTCCAATTGCAGCTATTGTATTCTGACAATGGTTGCTGTGCCGCTGTCAGAATGGTCTATTTGCCGCAGTCACTGTTTGGCCAATAATTTTTCTGACCGGCTCCTTTAAAGGATGGCAATCCACTGAGCAAATTTCCTCCGGTTCATCAAGAAAGGCCAGATAAACTCTGTTGCTTAAAAAAAAAAGATTAACAAAGAAGTGCTTGTGAAAAAAACACAGTTAATCATTAGCTGTGCCACAGATCTTCATTCCTGATCACCGCCAATATTCTTTGGCATCTGGCTCACTTCCGTGTGTGCGTCGGATGCTTGATCCCCTACCGTGGGCTGTGGTTTCATCTGCCAGCCCCTACATTACTCTGTGACCTGCAGTGACATAGGAGATGTTGTAAGGAACCACAGGCATCTGACACTAAGGCCCCCGTCACACCAGGGCGTTACGGGAACACATGTTCCCGCACATTTGCAGGACTGCTCGTTCCCACTCATTTGTGGGACTTTTTTCCAGTGTTTGGCACGTGTCCCTATAGATCCCCATTGGGTCCCTGAAAGAGCGTCAAACGTAGAAAAGTAGTACATGTAGCAAATTTGGCAGCATGCTTTCCAGTTTTTTTCAGGCGCATTCATGCACATTCTTACACGTGCAAACATGCGGGGGAAAACTATGTTTGTTTAGCGGTGTTTGGGGTGGCATTACTTAGTAATGTCAACACAAGTGCGTTCCATGTTTGTGCGTTTATCGTGAACATGCAATAGAGCATACATATTTGTGCACGTTTGAAGCACATTCACGATACACCCTGATGTGAACAGAGCTCAACTGAAAGTGTGGGATGCTGACGATTCATCAGGCAGCGGCAGCTCCCAAGAGAGCAAAGTTCAGGCGCTTGGACAAAGATTGTCTAAATACAGGAGCCACACAGGCATTGTGTATTTCTTCCAGATCTGTGCAGTAATTCACTTTTGTTCTGTGTAGGAGCTTCCTGTAATAAAGACCGGTCACAGCTGCTCTCTCTCCTTGTACGTGGTGACCAGTCTTGCCTCCGCCCACTCCTGTAGTTTTTCTCCAGGGAATCTGTAGTGGGTGGGGCCTGCTGAGCCCCTCCCAGAGCTCTGCTCTTGCTTTCTGTTTATGTGCAGCAGTTATTATGTCTCTAATACTTTTAAATTGTAATATTGGGTTGGCAATGCATTTGTTTGTGTTTATGTTCTGCTGTGGGGTGGGAAATGTCCCAGACCACAGCTGATTGGGAAGTGTGGCCTCTTGGCATCTACAGGTTCGGAGGAGCTCAGGTTCGGACCTAGTTCCATCCAAACCTGACCTCATCCCTATTTTTGATGGACAGTCCTGTAGCAAACTAAACGCCATTCGATTAGTCCATTCATGGGCAACTCTGACCCTTCAGCTGTGCTTTAACTACAAATGCCTCAGCATCTGGGAGTCATGCCTGTAGCTGTCAGTCTTGCAATGCCTCATGGGACTTTTAGTTCCACAACAGCTGGAGGGCCGGAGTTGCCCACCCCTGAATTAAGGTTTACATTCACTTTAAGTTGAGTTGAGGAAGTGACAGGTATTTAGAGTGCATGCAACAGGAGGTGCTAGAAGATACAAAGGTGGGCAAGGACACTCACAATTCACAGGTGTACAGGAACAGCAAGATATCTCTGGTAATTCTAGATATACAGGAAGCTGGAGGCTTTTGGGTGGATATGCCCTTTGATAGAAATCATGTATTATAATCATAACAGTGCAATCTTTTTTTTTATCACATCACCAGGTATCTTTGCTAACATTTTTACTTTGAATCCTTTTGGGACAATCTTTACTTGTTTCTTGCGTCTGTTCTACATCAACCGGCCTGGCATCCATGATATTTTATAGGTATAAGGGTAGCCGGATTCAGCTCAGTTTCACAGATGGCTCATTGTAGTAGCAGATCCACTACAGGAAGTAGAGGAGGGAGCATTGACTCTGTCACAAAGTGACCACTCATGCTGTTTGTATGTGTTTTTCCTCTTGTAGAGAAAGCATGGCAGAGCAGCTGGAATGTGACGGATCCGTGGACTGGGAACAGCGATGTATCACTCTGGAATCGCAGCTCATGAAGTTCCGCATCCAGGCGAACAGGATCAGGGAATTACTGGCAGAGAAGGTAAAGTCACATGACTATTAGTATTTAAAGGAACAAAGGTACAGAGCCAGTGCTGAATGATGAATCCATCCCATAATGGCACATTACAGGGCAGAGGCATGACGGGATTTGTAGAAAGTTGAGCCAGCTTTTCAAAAATGTGTACAGGCAAAGCCAGTTTGTGCGTGATATCCACATTACAGACACAAAGAGGGCACCAGACATGGGAGGAAAGCAGTTTTTGTGCTTTTTTAATAGTAAAGGTAAAAAATACTTTTATAAGCTTTTGAGGTTCAGGTAGACGTTTCCAAAAAAAATAAATATATGCATGGACTTGCATCAATTCAGTAATTAAAGTATTATATTTCACTGTCTATCCTCAATATGCAGATGCATGGACTTGCATCAATTCAGTTATTAAAGTATTATATGTCACTGTCTATCCTCAATGTGCAGCAATCTGCTATAGTCATTGAAAGAAAGACCTCATTTTATACAGCTCATTATTTGTCAGTGTCAGCATGTAGATATTAGGCTACATTCACACTGTTCAATTTGGGATTCCTTCTGCAGGAATACAAAATCTCCTGTTTAGATGTGGCCGCTGTCACCAATTCCAATTAATGGCCAGGTTACAGTGGCCGCATCTGTAAATGGCAGTCCCCATATAATCGTATATGATGTGATTTCATGTGGTTTGGAATAGATCACTGTCCCTGGATGCCCAATAGATGGTCATTAACTTGAACGGGGGGCATCAGGATATTTGGGATTCCTGCAGCAGGAACCTTCGGCTCCCAAATCGCCCAGTGTGAATAAAGCCTCAAAGTGATATACGCCATGTTTTTCGATCTGTTCTGCTACATTCGATCTTGCTTCAGATGAGAAGCTGCTTTTCCATTTGTGAATTTAATCTATCAGGGGCTTGGGCAGTACTCTGTGCTCTGACAGTGGCACTACTTGTGTCTGGATGGTAATGATTAACTTATTATGTGAGAAAGAAATCGAGATTCCCCCATTTTTAGATAAACAGGAACATTTACTGAAGATCTCTGCCAAGCATTATCTGCATTCCCAGATAGTTTTGGCACCAGTTACAATTCTGAATTTGCCTTTGTAACCTCTATGTTGTCCCTTTTTATAAGCATTTTATGTGGTGTACTTTGTTCTTCATAAGTTTGTGTTTTAATCATCATTCCAGGCAGAATAGGAGTCGTGATAGCTGCTCGAGGGAGGATTCTGCTCTCTCATCCCTCCAATAGCAGCCTGAGAACAGCATCCTTCTAAGTATAGGTGCCCCATGGGGAGTGAGAGCAGACTGCCTGTCTTCCTGTTTACCTTTGTCATGTGACATATCATGTGACAAAAGATGGGAAGGAGAAGCTGCCTTCATTCTCAGGTGGGTGTCCGTACTTAGAAGGAGGTCTGAACTGTGAATACACAGTAGAGTGACTCAGGCATGGTGCTACCTTCTCCCCATCAAAGCCCCAAAGAGCTACATACTTTTTGGCCCGGTGTGCGGGACGCCGCCATTAACCCTGCCCCCTGATGCATCTGAGGGGAATGTGGCACAGTTTGACATCATCCCCCTGGTGGGGGGGGGGATTGGATGACCTTGTCATGTCACTTAATAAACTTACCTTTATGGTGGCCCATATATTTAAATGCTTCCACTTTGCTTCTCTCCGCCAGTGTCCGATCCTTTGGGTGGGTCAAATACCTGCTCCCCCTGCCCCCCTTCAAAGCCCCAAATGGACTGCATACTTTGGCATGGTGTGTGCAGAACGCAGCTATTAACCCGCTCCATGATCTGTCTGGGGAGGGATGGGGCGCAGTTTGACATTTGCACCCTGAGCACTGAATACACTTACCTTTATGGTGGCCCATATTATTAAATCCCACCCCTTTGCTTCTTTCCGCTGCCAGTATCCGACCCTTTGGGTGGGTCAAATACCTGCTGCCCTCACTGGATGTACCGGTCCCTTCCAATGGCTCATATGTCCTGTAATGACATATAAGCTGACAGTAGGAACCACAGCATTTAGCAGGGGCACCAGGTCTTCAACACACCCAAAGTGTGGAATATCTGCTGCGGCTGAGAGAGGGAAGCAGCGCTGTTTAAACACACAGTCTGCTGGCCAGGTGAAGTGTATTGCTAATTCTTTTATAAGTTGTTCCTTCTTCATAAGCAGTTAAAGCTACAGTTTTTCTTTCCTTCTGGAAAAAGGAAAGAAAAACTGATGCCTGATGTATGTCCCTCAGCATACTTGCATCTAATGGACCTGCATTAGACAGGATGATGTCATGGGTCCTTAGAGCCCAAGGGAGAAGAGGCTGAGTATACAGTGTCAAGTATGTGAACCCCTTGGAATTAACTGGGTTTCTGCAGTAATATGACATAAAATGTTACCTGATCATCATCTAAGTCACAACAATAGACAAACACAATAACACACAAGCAATTCTAATTTCTTGTTTTTTTTATTGAACGCACCTATTAAATGTTTATAGTGCTAGAGGAAAAAGTAAGTGAACCCATAGACTAATTACTTCAACAAAAGCTAATTGGAATCAGTTGCTTATAGACCTGGAGTCCAATTAATGAAATTAGTTTGGAGGTGTGGTTTAGAGCTACGGTACTTTGATTGATAAAAGACACTCGGACATTTTAAGATTGTTGTTCATAAGAACAAGTGATGTGAACTATGCCTCTCAGTAGTTGATCTGCATAAGGCTGGAAAGGGATACAAAGCAATCTCAAAGTGTTCAGTCATCCATCAGTCGACATTTAGACAAATTGTCTATAAATGGAGACAGTTTAGTACTGTGGCTACTCTTACTGGAAGTGGGCACCCATCCATGACTCCCAAAGTGCAACACAGAATCGTCAATGAGGTAAAGAAGAACCCATGAGTAACAGCTAAAGCACATGTGACAAACTCAAGGCCCAGGGGCCGAATCCGGCCCACCAGGCCATTTCCTAGACTTCTACTTTCAGATCTAGGTAATCAGTTATTACTAAAACCAGTGATAATCGAATGCAGAGGCAATTATGATAAAGATTAGATACATTTATATAGTCCTACAGATACCTTTGAGGGCAACCATAATGTTGATGCGGCCCTTGATTAAATTGAGTTTGATACTCCTGAGCTAAAGGCTTGAAGACATTACTGGAACTGGCAAACATCCCCTTTCATGAAAACAGGCATGGTGTCCACGTGTGTGTGTTATCAGCTGAAAGTGGACCTTTACCCCCTTTAACTAAAAATCATCTTACATTCATTAAAGTGACATTAAAGGCAACATTTTTCCCCTCCCCCAATGTTAATGTCAGAACTTACCTTAAATGATGTATCTTAATCCGATCTTCTTCTTTCCTGATGTTTTCATCTGTCCCTCCAGCGGTGCGGCGGCTCTCCGATCCAGCGCTGACTCCTCTGTCCTTGCTGGCACTTCCAATCCAGCGGTGTCTGCATGCGGGTGCACGCGTCCATAGACTTACCTTGCGTCTCTGCTCGTCTCCCGTCCAAAAATACGAACTGAGCATGCGCCCGCCCCAAGATGCTTTGCAGCCGCCCTAACAGTTACATTTTTTCGGACGGGAGCGCACAGCGAAGACGGGGTAAGTGCTGTTAAAACGGGTTTAAAAAAAACAAAAAACTTTTTGCATATATCTACTGCTCGTTAGCAGTAGATATATGCAAAAAAAAAGGGAGGGTTTAGAAACCCTTTAAACAAACTTATTTTTCTTTTACTTACAAATAGAGTTCATCTACTTCCTGGTCCACTTCTGGCACAAATGATGTAATGTGCCAAAGCGTTGTATCCTCGGAAGGTTACATCAGTAGGGCATTGCTGGGAAATCTCATCTGTAATCTCATGAGATCTCAGGGAAAGGAATTTTCCTCCCCTGAGATGATGTGCATAGTCAGATGTCCAAGTCGCATGTGCCAGAGTTCCAGGAAGTAAAGAGAAATCTAGTAACCCGCCCTTAGTAAAAAATTACCACTGTCAGAAGACTGGGAAAGAAAAGAGAAACAAGATATGCAAAGAATACAAAGCCTGCAATTATCTAGAAGTATGTGTTTGTAGAATCATGTCATTACTAAAGATTTCTAAAGGTGTGTGTGTTGTGTTTGTCTATTGTTGTGACTTACTGTAGATGAGGATCAGATGACATTGTATGGCAAATTACTGCAGAAAACCAGTGAATTTCAAAGAGTTTACATACTTTTTCTTGCAACTATATCTTTGTCCCTAGATCACAACGACCACTTAACCCTTGCAGTGTGGGGGTAGCCCCACTGCAAAGGTAAATTAAAAGAATTTTGGAGTTCTTATTTAAACCAAATAATTAAATCTTATAAACACCCCATCAGTGTTATATGTTTTGTCCCGACCCTGTAACTGTCAATTTTTCTAGACAGCTTGGTCTGCATGTAAATGTACGGAAAATATAATTAAAGACATTTAAATAAGAAAGAATAGAATGTATACAATTAATTGCATTAAAGTGTCTTGGAGCATCAGTGCCATATCTAGATTGTGCCGGCATCCCACCCACCATCAATAACCAGCAAACAAGCTGATTTCTGCAGTTCCTGTTATCGCTATCTTTGCAGGGAATTTGCTGGCTCAGCCTCTTCCTGTTGGAGCAGAACTATCAATATTTCTGCCTGTCTGTATAAGGACTCTGATTCATCTCCTTCGAAGATGAACGTTGCTCCCAAAGTATAGTGACTACCATACTGAGATATCATCAGGCTAAGCTGCTTCATGTTATGCCTTGCTGCAAGTTGTTTTATGTCTTTAGATGAAGAGCACTCTTTCAGTAGCACAGCATGAAAACATGAAACGTAACTCAGCAATTATCTCCGCTCATTATATCAAACAACTGTACAGGGAAACCGTTTTTAACACCGCTTGCCTTGCAGCACTGGCATGCTGAATTGAGATGGCCATACCAGTAGAATTTCATTCAAAAAAATAATTTTTGGAATATTCATTCGATTTTCCAA